CTCAAGCTGGACAATGCGTCTAATAAGTCATCTGAATCACTGGACTCAAAATCGGACATCTGTAATATTTTAAAAAGTTTATTTAAAACACCGAGTTTTTTTATATTCTATTTTTTATTACCACAAGTAAAAATTCCATATTAATAATACAAGAATTACTATTATTTTAAAGGCAACTTCCTGTATAAAATGTGACTATTTTTTACTAACAGTAAACTAAAATCTTTAACAAAGTAATTATCAAAAACATAAACCTTACTTATAGCTTAATAATGTTAATATTAACAAGATCACGTCATAAATTCCTTGAAAACTAGTTTCTTTCTACGAACACCAAATTCTCATAAAGCTAATATTTTTTATTACCTAGTTTAATTACAATCCGGAATGACATATTTTCATGATTTATATAATTCAAAGTAGCTTACATTATTTATTTTAAAATTTTTAACACATTACAAAAATGACATGATTGATTTATAATTCAAATCACAAAACATATAAATATTCAAAACTGCCGCTTTTTATCTCCCCTCTCTACATATGGGACATATGGAACACTAGCGCCCTCTTATTTTTGTAAGATTTTTGTTTACATGGAGTTCGGGCTCCTTGTATAGTCTCCATGGTCATTACCATGGAGACTATACATTATCTTTTAAGTACAATCCAGAGATATGGAGTAGGGAGAATGAGCGTCAAGATGCGCAAACTTGTTACTAAAGGAGGTCGCCATTTTGAAGTCTTAGATACGAGGGGCTACTATATTACATTACCAGGTCAGTTCTAAAATTTCAAATTAGAAACGCACATAACTTTACATTAAATTTTGAAATGAAATATGAACTAACAAATACGTACTTTTGAAATTTTCTATTACATGTGAATTATTTTTCATAATTTTCTAGGTATATCTGAATATTTATTATATAATAAAAAATTAAATTTTCATATCTGCACTTCATAAAAAATATATTAAATACTATATTACTCAAGAACAATGGCTGGAGTTGTATCATAACTGCATAGGATATTATTACCTATCATATGTATAAATCTGCACACACTCCGACATTGTGCTTATCTTTTACATTGATTGATACTTTAATTATGTTATAACTATCTTGTTTCACAGAAGGTTCAACAGAGAATATTAATCACACCAATAATAAATTTTTGATACGATAAACTTTAACAGATTGCGGTAGGTACTCAATTTATATGAAATAAAAAAAAATTGTGATGTAGTTCCTAAATATTTTGTATATTAAAATAAAACACTGTATAACGTAACATGTTTATTTACTGATGGTTGAAAATAATTATTTAATTTTTGTCTTAATGCAGGGCCTTGAATAATCCGTCCTTAATTTCGTTTCGTAAAGACTGAACGGTAAATTTCCTGTCTACATTTCAGTTTAACATTTTTCGTTGCAACTGTAGAAGGAGATATACTGCAAAGATATTTTCATTATTAAAGTTATCCATTAAAGTATGTTTTCATTGCCATAATACTCCTTCTCTTAGCACTACTATCAGTACTAGTGTTACCATTCGATGTATTCTGAACACTGAAAATAAAATTACTGTAAATATTATTTCTTAATTTATTAGGTCCGTATCAAACAATTTGGCAGGGTACGTATTTAACATCCTTAGCATTACTACTATTTTTAAATTACAAATCTTTATTACCTTAAATTCAGTTGTCTCTTCTTTTTACGTTGTACCTACTCGAACTTCAGTAACGTTATAGGTCAAAGATGATTCACTTGATTGTAACATCAATTTGGTCAAAGCTCCTGTATTAATTGAACTGGATAAAGTAATCTTGCTTAAAATGGAAGAAGATACACCACAAAATAATTTTATGGAAGGTGCAGAGTTGGGTCGTACTATTTTTCTTCCACAAAAGGGGAGAAAATCATCCGCTTTAAAGTGTTCAGAGCAAATTACGTTATTTTTTGTCCATACCCAATTTTCTTTTTCGATAGAAAGAACCTTGTCCTTGTCCAGTAAAGTTTCATTTCTAGGAAAGCTAGAAATAAAAAAATTACATGTTTACAATAAAAATTTAGAATAAAAAGTGGAAATATCTTATTTTTGTGTACAGCTACCTAAATATTTAGAAATGTTTTGTATTGGACATCTTCTGCAATTTGCGCTTCCTTTCACAGTACAAAGCACAAGACATATTTAAAGTTCAATAAAAATATGAATAACCTCAAAAAACACACCTGTGAACCTAACGTCAACAACAACTGCGTCACTGCGTGACGTAAAAGCCTTCAAAATGTCTGCGCCCGTAGCGTCCCTAGAAAAGTGGATGCGCACTCGTCGAAGCTCATTCTCCCCTACTCCATATCTCTGGTACAATCACAAAGTTTTGACACAATTTTCGATTTTTTTCAATCAACTTATTCTTTGACTTACAATTTTCAAGAAATTTGTTTTAATTAGATTCAGCATAAGTTTAGAATGTGAAATTACTATTTGACCCACATCCCACATCACTGATAAATGAACCCTCCGAAAATTTACTTTCTGTTTGGTATATTGGTACCTCTTGGACCTCTTTGGTACTTTTCTTGCTTCATCTTTGGTACTAATTTTTTCCGTCTGTTGGCGACATTGTTAGTAACGCTGTGGCCACTGTCATTTGTCTCCGAATAATCGAATGAATTTATATGATCACTCGAGATATCTCGAGAGATTTTCATAATCGATATAATCGATAATTTTCATTCGAATAGTCCCATCACTAAATTCTAAATTACTAAAGGCTTTTTTTCGCGACTGAATATTGGTGAATATCTGACTTGTAGTCACTATTTCCATCTCTTTTGATCTTAGTTGTCATATGATAGTTTAAATCTTTTCACTCACTCATACTACACATACCACAACATACAACTTCACTCGCGAAAAAAAGCCTTATATTGATTAGCTGAGCTGAGTTGTCATTTGTCAAAGTCAAAATTAATTTTTAACAATGTTTTTTTTGTGATTTATATAGATATTTTGCAAATAGTTTAATCAAATCTTACGTAGTATAATAATTAAATTCACTAATGTTTTATAAAAAATATGAGTAACAAAGATACCGTGAGCAACACTATCAGTAGATAACAGTGTGACGTACGCGGAGTAATATGAAATACATACATGGAATACTGCATAAGCACAAAACAATCATAATATAGAAGAGTTAGACCGGCGGCAGCTGATTTCATGAGATATCAATTATATCATTAAGATGCCTTGTACCAAGTGTAGATCTGACTTCAATTTACTTAATTGGAAAATAAAGTGTGGGGAATGTGAGGATAAGTACTGTAATAAATGCTTGAAACGAAGAGAAGGGTAAACATTTTTCACCATTATTAGATAATGTTTATTATAAATATTTATTTCAGAGTTTTGTATTGCGAGAAATGTTTGATTTTGTTAAAGCGTCCTCCAGATCGGTTTCAATTAATGGAACTCAAATCAAAAGATTTGCAAGACTATCTTAATAAACGTAATATTTCTACTTACGGATTAATAGGTAAGTAAATTGTATAAATCGATATAACCAAAATAAAATATGTTATCCTAGATAACAGCAATAAACATTAAAGTTTTACTTGTTCACAGTATTTCTCCTTTTCCAGAAAAACACGAGCTTGTTGACTTATTTTATAACAGACATATTCCAGTGAAACCAAAAAGAGGCGTCGAAAAACTGACGGCCAACTTTGCAGGATCCGTTCCAAATTTAAAACCTCTCAACGATTTTTTTGGTAAGGAAAATTTTGTCTTAGCATTTTACAGTAGTATGTAATTAAATACAGTTTAAGTCTGTGTATAGTATATTGCATTCTGATTTAACGGGATATTGCTAATACGTTGTGAACAATTAAAGTAATGTTTAAAGTTTTAAATGTGCTTTCAGAAGATAAATTGATAATTGAAAATATATGTCGATGGCATGGGTGGGTTAAGTTATTCAGCAGACTCCATAACAATAAAACTGACTGAGGAAGACCTGTTTTTTTATGTGGATTAAAAATTTGTTGACTAAGATGAATAAATTACACCTAAATAATCTAACAAAAATCGTAATCGCTGGGGATATCATTCCTATAAGATTTTTCATGAGCAGAGCGTTCTTAATCAGCACTTTTGCATCAGGATATCATATAAAAATGTTTAGCCCCTCTTTCTAAAAGGAATCTGCTGACCTGGCAAACTTGCCAAGCTGTGGTGATCTCAAAAGTGAAATAAATTTATCTCTTGTTCGAGTTAATAATAATTAATAGTAAGATATGATGCAATAATAATTGCATCATATCTAAAATCCAATGAATGAAAAAATTTTAATTGTATTGGGACACATTGTTTTATTACAGTAGGTAAATGGTTTGTTTAAAATGATAAGGCTACAAATAAATAAATATTCATTTGTTGATTGTTTAAAGTATGTATTTTTATACAAATGCATTTCCTCACAATCAAAACATCTTTTCCCCGACTAATTGCACATGGTACTATTTTTTATTTACGAGTGATAGGTAGTTATAATTTTTTATTTAAAGGTAATTATAGTTTTCTTTATATAATCAAAAAAAATCAAGTGGGCATTTATAAAGTAGTCGATTTCACAATAAATCATTATAGTTGAAATGGGAAAGGTGGATATCATTATCAGCATTAACCATGCTCTGATAAGATATGACTAATAATATAATAAATCATGTAAACAGGTGATGGTATTAGTTTATTGTAAGAGAATTATGTGTATTCTTTGGCGAATGTTGTGTCTATGTGTCTCTGACAAGAATCAAGGTATATATACTGCCACATAGTCAGGAAATGTTAGTTGAAACATACAATATAAACGGTCGATGTATGACTACATAAAGATCAATTGGAGGAGGTGGAAATAACAATAATAATAATTGTTTCAGTTGACAGCTCAGGACGTAAATGTAAATAATGATAATGAGGTTGAGTTATTTATAATTTTTATCACTAATCACGGTTTTCCTTAAAAATGGTTTTCTGTGCGCTATAGTGTTAGACTTAAACATTTCAAATTAATAAAATCTGTGGTATGTGCTATTAATAATTCCATTTTTATAAATTAACAGATAACAAAATATTGTTACATTATATGGTATTCAGAAGTTAATTATTATTATTGTTGTGAGCTCAATTTAATAATTTTGACAATTTGTGCAAGATTTCAAATAATTTTATATACTATATACAGGATGAGTCGAGAGAATGTATTGCTTTTCTATTAATCATAGCGTTCTTTGAATAAATGTTCAGAAACACCACCATCTGTAAGCACTTTCTGCTTCTGTAGCTCTCCTGATTGCTGCATGTCTATCTTTAATAAGTGCTGCAGTATGGATGATGCGTCAAATGTGTGAAATGTATTTATTATAATTTTGGCAATTTAAAGCAGGTTGTAAATTTTAGTTTAATTGGAGATAAATTTTCTGTGAGTTTTTTCATTTTAAATTGGTCGAAAATTACGCTACTTGACATTTTATAAAAAAAACGATTTATTATTTGTATTGTTTGAAAGAACATACATATCATGAGTCTAGTTTAGATTTGCATTTTGAAATCAGATATCATCTTCATCTCAATTCTGTTTTTAAATATCAGTGTGATGTAACTGCAAAATTTTGAAGTACAACTATAATTTTTTTCAATAAAGTAATTATCACAGATTGTATGATTTTTGTCAGGTAATTTGGATTCGGTAATAAGCAATGGAACTAGACCGACTAGATCGGAAAGGCCCGATCCGAGACCTTCGCCTTCCGTTAATCCACATAGCTATGTACCGCCGCAGGAACAGCCGACTGGTTTCACGCAACCGGCACAAAGTGCCTGTGATGATTCACAACCGCAAGCCACTACCTCTACAGGCTCCTCTGAATCTCCGGAAAATACTCAGACACAGAAGGTAATAGAAAAGTCGTTATCAAAATTTCAAGGTTTTTTTTTTTTTTTCATTTTGATCCTGTTTAGGAAGGAGAAAGTACTTCGGAAAGTCCCGTCCCGCCCAGGTATCCCAAAATAGATGACTTTGGCAGTATCGAAGAGTTGCAAGGTCTATCTGCGAAGGATTTGAAAATATTATTGACCCTCAATAGGATCGACTACAAGGGATGCGTGGAAAAACAGGAACTTTTAGATAGGGCGAAAAGATTGTGGGAGGATAGTAATGAACAAAAGAAAGGTAAGATTTAACAGACGAAAAAACATTTCTGTGCTCATGCTAATGAAATTCTAAAACAATTGTTTCCCGTCAGGGTGTCTTGATATAGATGGGCAATACTTAAGGGTAGATTTTTGTGAAAATTGATATAGATCAATTTTGCTTTCCTAAAAATTTATGTTCAAAGAAATTTTATTTAATTTAATTTTATTGAATTAGCTGATATTTTATTAAAATTAATCACCCCATAGCATATTTCTTAGGTAAAATATAGAAGTTGTCATTTTTCAATAATATATTTTTTTTAAACTTAATTTAAATCGTTATTTTTTACTCAGAAAGAAAAATCTGGCCTCGAAGGATTGTTCCCAGACACCCTGTATATTCTGACGATATTTTATAAATCATAAAAGTTTAACAAATGTTATTCAACTTAAAATGATTTTTGTCTTTTACGATGTTTTGTTCCGATTTTTTATTCCCACTATTTTCGTTAAATTACAATTCACATCAAAATTAAGGCGCCACTAAAAATGGGCCGCAATTTCACAGCTGCTTTTCTAACAATTAATGTCATTTTGACAATTTTTTTTTTATTATAGCTACTCCTTTATGGAAATTTTAATTTTGAGCATAAACGGTACACCGAAATGAATAATTTGAATCAAATTGTAGTTTCATCTTTTTTGAATAATTTTGATTCATGGTCATTGTGTCTCTTATTAATTGAGATACACAATTAAATTAAAATGCATCAGTTTATTGTTAAATGTAAAAACTTGATACACATAATTCTAAGGGTTTCTGTAAAAAATAGAATGGTTTATACAAAGCATTCATAAATGATTACGAGTCATATAACCAGTAATTTTGTTAGGACACACATAGACAATTAAATTTTGTTAAAATCAAAACAAGCTCAAGATTACATTAAAACACAACATTTTATTTCAATGTCTGGTTATTGTGGAATTTTTCACTAAATTTAATTCAACCAATAAGCGACCGCATTATCACTAGTGTAGACGTAAGGTTTGTCAAAGTTCATTGTAAATGAATAATTAATATTGGTGATGTTAACTAAGATTTAGGGATTTTTAGTTGATAGCACCAGCCGTGAAATGTGATCAAAATCAGCAACTGGTTTGGCATATAAGTCTTCGATGTGAAAGCTGTTGTTAGATATGTTAATTGTTTTTCCCAATTAATAACACAGATAATGGGTGTGAAAAAAAAAAAATTTTTTAGAAAAGTTTTATTTAAGTAGGCATTGACTATTTGTGCATTTTACAGGGTGTTTCAAATTTTAGGCAAGGAAACTTGTCTTACATTCTGCATAAGCTGAAATCTGAAATTTCAATAAAAATTTTTATATCAGCTTCCTGAGTAAAGAATAAAACTTTAATTAAAAAAAGGAATAGGATTAGTTGTTCATGACAATAATAATTTGGAAATTGAAGCTTATTTTTAGTGGTGCGTTAATTTCGAGGCGTGTATTTATTTGAGGCATTTTTGCAGAGCCAACAGAAAACTTGCCCATACAAGACTTGTGCAAGTTGTGCATGGACGCACCACTAGACTGTGTTTTATTGCAATGCGGGCACATGGCAACATGCATAGAATGCGGGAAAAAATTGGCAGAATGCCCCATCTGTCGACAATATATAGCTCGTGTAGTTAGAACATTTAAAGCTTAGTGATTACCCCAAGTATTTTCCTTTATTATTATATATTTATACTTATATTTAAGAAATGTACTTTTTTATACGCATTATTATCAAAGAAGAATATTCAGTTATTAAAATTAAATTAATTAAATTGAAAGATTATGACTGTTATACAAAGATTTACTATCTCTAAAGAGTTGTAAGTGTGTTAAAAATCTATTTGTCAAGTACAAAAATTCTCTGCTTACTTTGCTGTGACAACAGTTTAAAATAATAAAAGAGTTGTGTTAATTGTTCATACTTGTTTGTTCCCTCACAAGACAGAGGCAAAAGTCGACTTTTGTCACATCTTGTCATTTCATCCATCACCTCAAAATTTCAGTGTAAAAATCATGCAAAATGAAAGTAAAAACTGTAAAGATGTTTTCGTCACCCTAATACTAACGGAATCCACTTCGAGTCTGCTAAACCTGAATTTGCCCCATTTGGAACGAATCCATCCAGAAAACTCGCAAATCTGCCTCATTACACCTAGTGAGCTCAATTACTTCAAGAAGAAATATCAAAAATCCAAGGAGAATCTCGGACAATTGGACGTCGCTAGTACTAGTCATGGTGGCGATGCAGGCGATAAGAATATCGAGGAGATTTACCTAAAAATTTCTTCAGACATGGCACTGTTTTCCAATGGCAATTTCTCGTCTTCCTCCTGTGTGGACGGTAAGTAAATGTTACAGTAGAATTATAAGTATTCGTTTCTATACAGTGTGTAACAAAAGTCGGACATCGGGTAATTTTTTTTTAAATATCAACTCGTTTTCATTAAAATTTAATAGAAGTTACTTATCTCAGTACACTGGAACCCCATAAGTGGTATTTGTTATCTGTTAGAAATTATGAATTATTTTCTTATTGATAAGGATCATGGGCGCCCACAAGGGAGGGCCAAAGGAACTGTGGCCCCTCTTGAGATTTTATGCTTTGCTTTTTCTCTATAAATGAATTCATGGAGGAATTTATTAAAAACATTAAGTTAGTATACAAAAAATTATAAAAACTGCTCTAATATTTTTTAACATTTCCGTTCGATAATAAATATTAATAGTACACTCATTGAAGCTATTCACCTCCGAATTCTTTGAAACCGAACGGATCGACTTGAAATTTGGCAGATAGTTAGAGAAAAGATCAATGAACATTAGTGACATAGCGCCGATTGACGCTTGCACCTTGTTGGTGGTTGACACCACTTCTCAGGGGTGTAAATTTTTTCAAAAATAACGCTGGAAATCGATAGAGAATCAAATTTTGTGCAAAAAATATTCGAAGAATTTTTTTCGAGAAATCGGTTATTCACGATTGAAAACTTGCTTATAAATAAACAAAGAAAATCGTTTTTTAAAAAGTGTTGTATGTTCTATACAAAGCAAAATATGGTTAGTGGAAGGGGACTTGTTTTGGGGGGAATACTGGAATCGATGTATTCAACGTCAAATAACGGAAAAAGGATTAATTTTACGTGTATAACGCTCTGGGAGTTTTTTATAGTACTCAAAAAGACCTTCAATATGAGCACATATAAAAGTTAATTAGAGCAAAATTGAAGGAGTTATCGTCAAAAACAGATGGGTTGCTCATATTTTTTAAGGAAAAATGAGCAGTAAACGCTGTACCATTTCCATCAGAATTAAAATTAATCGTACCCTTTACAATTAGTTTTGTTTGTGTTTTTCATACGATTCTGAAGTTAGACCGTTTTAGAATGCTTATTTTTTGAATAATGTATGGTAAAAGTTGAAAACTTACTTTACATTATTCAAAAAAAATTGCCTTATTTATATAATAACTCTGAAACCATGAAAGATACGTAAAAAATGATAGACAACAAAAATGTAGCTTTTTTTTCAACAAATATTTTTTATATATTTTTTTTATTCTTATAGCATAAAAAATAAAGGAGATATCGCCGTTTGAGGTATCCATTTTAGTGAAAAAACGACCTGTCCCAAGCCCTTCGATCCTTTCCCTTTAAAAAACGAAGGACTTAAAAGGTTTTATATGCAAACGATCTTACAGCTCTTTAAATTATCTTTAAAATGCTTTTTTGTAGGATACCATAGCTTCAAAACCGAGTTATGGTAAAAAAAACCAATGACATTTTTATATTTAAATTAAAATATACAAATAAAATAAGTAAAAAAAATTGTGATTATAATTTAATTTTTTTTATGATTGATTATATTTAAAAATTGATTATAATAAAAATATTTATTCATTAATATTGGTAAAAGGGTAGTTTATAAGAGTTGAAAATGGCAAAAGTAATAACGAGCGTTCAAATAAAAACGTGGTCAAGTTGGTTCTGAAAATTTGGACGTAGGGCGTAGCGTATAGCAAATGAACTTAAACGTCATCTGTCAAAGCGCTATATCACCGCTATCAATTTGAATATTTTCGGTTTAAAAAGCGTTTAAAATGGTGTTTTCTCAAGAACAAAAAGTGTTTATCATAGAGTCCTACTTTAGAAATGGACGCAAGATTGATGGAATATGGAAGTATTCTATTGAGGAATGTTTCATAGAATTTCAAAATCAATTTCCCGGCGTTGTTGAGTACAAAATTTTTCAAAGTGCAGTTCAGCGTTGTGTTAATGTTTTTCGTGAAACGGGCAGTGTAACAAGAAAAGAAGGAAGCGGCCGACCTAAAAAGCAGACTGAAGAATTAAAAGAAAATGTCCAACAAATAATGGAAAATGCGCCAAGAACTTCTGTACTTGTTTTATCACAAATGGTGGGAGTGTCGGTACCTGCCACACAGTGTTAAAAAAAGATTTGCGTTTGTTCTATCGTTTAACTTGTCAGCAAGAACTTCATGAAGTTGATTTTCCGCGACGGGCTGTATTTTGTGAATGGTTTTTAAACAACTACGGTGAACTTCATAATATCACCTTTTTTTCTGATGAAGCCTGGTTTCATTTAAGTGGTTACGTTAACTCACAGAATATGAGAATGTGGTCTTCTGAAAAAGCAGATAACTTTTTTGTCGAAGACCCTCTACACGCTCAAAAAATTGGAGTTTGGTGTGCTCTCAATCGAAGGAGGATTTATGGACCTATTTTTTTTTTTAATGGTACTCTTACTGCGCAAAGGTATAGAGAAGAAATTATCGCTCCTTTTGTCAACCAGCTGGAAGAAAACGAAATTACAAACTTTTACTTTCAGCAAGATGGCGCAAGGGCACATACGGCAGGCAAGATGATGAATATGTTGAGGGAAGTTTTCCAAAATTGACTAATAAGTCTCAGTGGTGAACATGAATTTCCACCGAGGTCATGTGATATTACGCCGTGTGATTTCTTTTTGTGGCCTTACCTTAAAAACACTATTTTTGAACTGCCTATTCCTGATTTAAACCATCTGCAGGCTGGACTTATAGATAAGATTTGTGAAATTAACAATACCTCGAGCATCTTAGAAAATGTCTTTAATTCTTTGAGGAACAGGTGTGAAAAGTGCTTGGAACAAGGAGGGGGACACTTTCAGCAGCTGCTTTAATTTATTGTTATAACAAGGAGGGGGACACTTTCCGCAGCTCCTTTAATTGTTTGTTATTGTTATCACGATTATTCTTTAAAATAAAGTTATATAGTCATTAACGTTATTGAAACTGACAGCTGCTATACAGCTCGTTGAGAAATGAGGTTAAGTTGGTCACTATAAGCTACTCCCTACGTCTAATGCGTCAGAGCCAACTTCGACCACGTTTTTATTTGAATGCTCGTTATATAAATTTTTTCATAAACAATATAAGGGAATTTTTATTTTAAATTATTGCACAATTATAACATTCCAATATTTAAAATGTAATTTTCTATCAATTTTTTAGCACAGGGGTGATTTATAAGGGTTGAAAAGTGTTGAGATACAAATTCTTTCATAAGCAATGAGGGAATTTTTATTTTAAATAATTGCACCGTTAAAGCATTCCAAGCTTTTAAAATGTAATTTAGATCAATTTTCAATACAAGGGTGGTTTTTAGGGGTTGAAAGGAAAAAATTCTTTTATTAGTTATATATAACTTTTATTTTAAATAATTGTACGATTCAATCATTCCAAATCTTTAAAAAGTAATATTTTATCATTATTTTTTGAATAGGGGTAGTTTTTAAGGGTTAAATAAAGGGTCGAAAAGATCAAATATATCATAAAACATGTTCGAGAACATGGAACATTATTTAATCTTTGTCCTTGAACAAGATTTTTATTAATAAAATGCTTAAAACTTAATGTTTTCAATTTTTTTCACTTAGGGGTAATTTTTACCCCTAAAAAACAAAAAGTGCCAATCGGGCTTATGTCACTTTTAAACTTGAGCCTAAGATGAGCCTTATTCTAATCTAAATTTTCATGCAAATCCATACAGTTTCAAAGAATTCGGAGGTTACAGCTGATTTTCAGCTTCAATGACTGTACTATAAATCAAAACTTCGTTCATGAAATATCCTGTTTCTCACAAAAAAACAACTTTTTTATTGATAAGCTCTATTCCTAAAACAGCTACTTGAGATTTCAATTATTACTTAGTTTTTTTTTGTTCGTCTCTGTTAATTCCCATACCTCACTAGTTTTATGTTTTATTAAATTAACTGGAATGTTTTGTATTCTGCACTTTCAATATATTTTCTATAACATTTTGGAATAATTAACTGTAACTAGTTTACCTAATTATTATTTTGTTATTTAAGTTTTTTTGTGCATGCATTTTATACTTTATGCTGAACTTAGGCTCTTAGGAAATAAATACGTAAATCTCTCTCAAAAACAATTCAACTAAAACCGAATAAGGTTATTAAAAAAGATCTGAAAATCGGTCAGTCAATATTCGTTTTTATTCTATCTATAGTTGAATTATTTGATACTATTTTTCTAGAACTTGCAGATGAAGATGGGGCTAAAAATATGAAAGAGGATCAAAAACCCACAAACATATTTGAAGCCACGAAAATTCAAAAATGCCCTCTTGTAACTGCACGTAGCAGAGCCCACTCTGATAAGCTGGCTGTGAATTCAAACGATATTTATGTTTCCTTGTTGGACACGGAGGTATGTAGATCTGCCATTGCCTCTTTCATAGATCTTTCAGTTTCTCTTTAATTATATTGAAAAATGTTACTTTTAACTTCAGTCTCAATCGTCAACTGACTATATATGCCGTATCTGCCATGGCGGCGAGAGTATGGACGATTTGTTGACGCCTTGCCGGTGCAGGGGAACAATAGCATTAGTTCATTTGAAGTGCCTCGAACGGTGGCTGAAAGAATCGAACCACAGCCACTGCGAATTGTGCCAGCACCACTATCAAATCATCAGAGAGCCCAAGTACGTAGTTGGAGTGTTTTAAGTTGATATAGTTTTGAATTACAATTAAAAAGTTATACAGGGAACATAAGATAAATGTAATAAAAATACCTTGTGTGGCAGCTGTGAGAAAATCATTTCACAAACATGACATATTACTAATTTTTCATTCAAAAATGTTGTTTCATATTGTTACTACTCTGGTCAATATTGAAAGACAAGACACAGCCACCTTGTACATTGATCATAAAAACGTCAACACAATTTTGTATACACTGCTGGCAACGGTACATGGTCCATCTGCCTTTTCATGAGAGTGACAAAGTAAAGTGCGATAGACAAGGATGGTTATAGTTAAGACCTTTCGTAATCTGAATAATCACTCCCACTTCTAACCGAGCGCATCATATTGACTATTCAGATTATGAAACATCTTCAATATAGCCATCCTTGTCTATTGTACGGATTTCTCTTACTACTTTCTCACTCTCACGTAAAGGCAGATGAACTATGTGGATTTGCCAGCCGTGTATATTTACCATCCGCGTTTCTAATTTGTAATAGATATGGCGTCGGCTGGTCTATTTTGGCATTTCTCAGACACCCCGGGCCCCATTTAAAAGATATTCTACTAGATTTCTTGGCCTTTGCTTTGTACACTCCGTCGGCCGTTGCTTCGACTTACATGCTGATGATGATCTGTGAATCTTTGGTCAAGTCCAACATCGTTACCAATGGCACGTTTTCGTCGCATGCTATAGCATTCTCTGCTATTTTCGGTGAGTATCCCGATAATAATTCCCAAGGAGTAACCAGAGATTTGTGTGGGAATGGCGAAGGCATATTTATTATTCACCTGGCAGCGTTTGCAGATGATTTATTTATTCGATTTCAGGCATGGCTGCGATAGATTTCACGTACACGTCGTGGTTGATGCTGACTTTCCAGAAGCACGTAGAGAACTGGAGGGATTGGTATAGGAATTCCTCTACCCTAAAAGTGGTCCTTCCAAAGATAAAATTACGACCGCATAAAAACAAGCGGAAAATAGTGAAATTTAAAACTGTTTAATATTCAGTAATTATTATCTTTGCAGATTTAAATGAAAATATTATAAAAAAGTTAATAATTTAAACATGGCATTTTTCAGGATCATATTCATTTTATAATTTTAAAATAAAAATTTGAAAGAGAGACTTATTTGTTTGTATCCTAGATACATCCAACACCAGTATTATGTTTTTTGACGTGATAAATTGGTCAAGAAAGAGTGTGTCTACTGATGCAATTGTTTTCTTGTTACAATAAATTGGCCAAATTACTTGTCAAATTTAAGGTTGCTATTAGAATAAAAATAATAGTAATCCTAAATTAAAATAGTCATATTTTGATGATAAAATGTCGTTTTTTAGAGTGATTTCTAGGCCCTCGTAGAGAACTTTCATAATGAAAAAATTTTCTAAGAAAATTGCGAAACAAAAAAAAAACTATTAAGGGTGAGGTCTCGAAAGGGGCTGCACATAATTTGCAATAGTCCTTTTTTCTGAAAATTTTAATTTTTCTTGAAGTTAATATTCTGAATATTGAAAAGTAGAATATTAGAATCAAATTAAAATTTAGATTTGGGAAAAATAATTTGCTTAATTTTCTATATCTTGATTAAAGAAGGCGTCGGTAGGTGGTGTGTAGAGAAAGAACTATTGAAGATACTTTTAGCTTGCGTGTAAAAATCAGTGTCTCATACTGTTCCATTCATACCATCTGACAAGATATTTGTAGTTTTAAAATCTAATTAAATCATAATATACGTTTTATTATCAATTTTAGTAAGATTATACTTCTAAACTAATCGAAAATTAACCTACATGCATATATGACTAAATAAATAAGACAGTGAAAAGGATAGAATAAGCAGAATCATGAAAGTACGAGCGCCATCTCACGGCCGTTATGCAAAACACTGCCATCGTTAGCAATATTTATGTATCGAAAACTGTAACACTAACTTGACCATTGTTTATATAGTTGGTGTAAACTATATAAACAATGAACTAACCTGAATAGGATATTGGTATTAGAACCTATAGAGTTCGCTGGAAAAATTAAAAATATGATGATATTACATGTATTCTTTCGTGCTAAAGCTGAACAAACTGATAGCAATCGATAACTAGCTAATCATAAGACAGTATTTTAAAAATTCCTAATTGTTGGTTCTTTACTGATTTCACTCACTTTGTTCAATACGAAAGAATACGTGTATGGAAGATTAGGTCACAAAGGAGGTGTGTTTCTATGGATTAGGTTTGAGATCACAATTTATTTCTTCAGTAGTGCTGTTCGTTATGTCTGCTTGACGTGCTCCAACTCAATCGGAGTTATTTTATCGGCGTTGGTTGAAGCCGAGCACAAAATCTATGTTGTTCGTTATGCAGGAGTATTTCACTTTGATCAATAAGATCATGGCTCTGGTTACTCTGTCATTTGTGTCGGAGCAAAGGGAGTAGAGCAACTAGAGCAATCAGCTGATTGTCCACATTAGACATTCCCAATCTTCGTCTAAACATGTTGATACATTTTCCAATCCATTTTCTGCTTGCACTGTAATTACGCCAATAAATCTAATAAGTTTTCTTTATTCATGGTGGATAACAAATTTGCTTTTTGTATACTTAAACAGAAGAAAAACTCCTAAAATACCCTAAATAAAGTAAACTTAAAACACACACGTTTACATCAAATCAAAGCATATGTTATCATAAAAAAATTTTTATGATGGGTTATGTTCAAGTCGTCTTAATGAACACAGGCAAATTACTCCAAGATCTGACTGCTCTACTTTGTGATTTAAAACGATCTGGTGACGTCACTGCTCCGTTCTCTTCATGATCCAAGATCTCTTGGAGCCACAATGAGTAGCTTCTAACGAACAGGGCTTTTGCGATGTATCTGTATTGCATAGAAAATATAGTACTTAACTATATTTTCTATGCTGTATTGTGACTAATTAACTCGTAAGTTACCGTGCTAGTGCTTTTGATAATAATTGTTTTCTGTTTTAGACTAAAATTGAATGTAACGCAAGATAATTATAATTGTTGAATCGATCATCTGAATTCTCTTACTGCCTTTGCTTGTTTTTACATTAGAACATATGTTTTTTTACAAAACTTTGTAGTCAATGATTAAGAATTTTATTCCATATACAGGTTCGGAAAGTCCCCATGGTACATCGGCCGTTACGTGGAGCGTTAAAGTAAGTAGAAATCCGTGCGATAGACAAGGATGGTTACATTGCAGACGTTTCATAATCTGAATAGTCACTCCCACTTCTAACCCGGAACATACCCGAAACGGTTGGTGACTATTCAGATTATGAAATGTCTTCACTATAGCCATCCTTGTCTCTTGTCTGATTTCTTTACTTTGTCGCTCTCATGTAAAGGCAGATGGACCATGTGGATTTTCCAGCCCTGTATGTATAAGCTGCACTCTGAATATTATGGTACATTTTACCGCTAATTGCTTGTAATAAAGCATATTAGACAGCGACATCTATTGCATAGTTTTTGAGTTACATTCTCAAACCAAAGACGGGTAGCACGGTCATTGTAGTTTCTTTTTTCTGTTTTGTGTTGTAGCTGTTATTTGTTTGCATAAGCGGCCTAAGATGGCGCCAGTTGCGTCTGGAGAAAGTGGCGCTTCCTATAAAATACAAGGAAATAAACCCTCTTATTTAGTTACTCATATCATTGTATAAGTAAGTAAGTAAGTATTTCTTATATGTACAATCCTCATATGCCTACATGTAAATTAATGAAGTTTGCATTAAATGGTTCCTAATTTTTATGTCGTGTCATCTATTGGTCAGAAACTGCACTGAACCGCGGGAGAATTTTTTAGCAGATATCTAACTGTAACAGCTACACATCGTTGATTGAAATAATACTTCAGTGGTCAGTTAATTGAGCTCTTTATGTAGAGGTGGCGCCGCATGCTATTATTAAAATTGTAATATATGTTATATTAAATTAAGAAAAAGTTGAGAAAATTGAAATCCTAAATCAGATTTTAATGTTCTTCGATTTTCAAACAAAGTTTGATTTCGTGACATATTACTTACTGGCATGCAGCAACAATTAGGGGTGGCTGCGGCCCTCCCTGGCTACACCCATGTTCAATGGTATTATACACTAATAGACAGTACTGCCAGTCGATTTAAACTTTGTGTACCAGCTTTAAGAAAATGTTAAATAATATAATTCGTTCATAGTGTTCAGATTTGATAACAAGAAGCAGGAAAACATAGTTTATTAAATAACATTAGAGTCCATGGGCGTAGTCAGGGAGGGGTAGGGGGAGCCGCGGCAAAAAACGAAATCTGGATCACGACATCGAAAAAACCTTAGAGTATGTGGTACATGGAGGGAGCACGCTTACAGCGACTGTGCAGAGAGTAACAGAGAGAGAGAAAGAGATGATTTGGGCATCATCTTTCTCTCCCGCGCAAGCAATTGGCTAACGCAACTCCTTCTTCAAAGATTAGACACTACACTAGGAAAAAGCCGATGTTAAAGACGTATTCTAGTCTGTGATGCTGCTGACATTCAGTGCTGCATGGGGCATGTTGCTCGCAGAACAGTTGTTTCTCTTCATTATTAAAAACGCTGTTAGTTTCATGAAACACAAACTTCATGTTTCAATAGCAGCTTTCCAATTGACAAAAAATGTACCTCAGAAGCACTTCAGAAACATTTCAGATTAACTTTTTGCGTTCTAATAAGCTGGAACATTTAAAGTGTTCCTGTTGGTTTTTCCCTGCCCCCTCACGGACCACCTTTACGTGTTCCTTGGTCCAGTTGAGACTCTATATATTTCGAATATACAGGGTGATTCAGACATAATTATTACCATGTATTCGGAAAGCCTAATAGAAAATCGAAAAAGAAAAATTTACCTACTCTACCTTTTTAAAAGTAAGTAAATTACCCCTTAGCTCCCGTTAACTCGGCGTCCTAAAGCGTTAGAACGTTGAAGCGGAACAGCTGATTTATCTAATCAAAGTGCAGCGAATCGCAACTTAACAAAGTGCTATGGACTTATGAATGAGTGTTTTTTTAGCCGTACTGTTACACAATAAGGTATACATACAACAAATTGAATACTAAAAACTCATATTCAATTATAAAACATAGTGGAATCGTTGACAATATTAAAAATGCTAAATAATCTAACATTCGAAAACAAATATTAATCCTTATACATTAATTTGTTATTAACAACTTGCTAATACATACTTAATATGTAAAAAATATCTTATTCATTCATGTGTCCAGATAAAAAGATCTGCTTTTGTCGTTCACGAGTAAAAGCTAGATTAGTGACCGAATATGGCAGGTCAAGATTCACTCTCGATATAACTTTGTAGGTTAGCGGTCAGGAGCTGTCCGAAAAGGGCTTTAAATAATGATTTGAAAATATTATTTCAGCGAAAATATGCATTTCAATTTTTTTTAATAGCGTGTTCGTATTCTACTCATTTTTCCCTATCTTCCCTTAAAATGACATTATGATTGAATCACCCTGTATTTAAGGAAAAAAATAATGTTCGTAAACAATAAGAATACAGTGATACTAATGTGCTAGATATGAGATTAAGAAGCTTATATTCTGACTTGAATGAACGTCTAACTTAATTATATACATAGACATAAACAAAATGCAATTTATGTTTCACATTTTTATCCTGATTTTTTTTTTACATATTAGTATAAATGTAAATATAGATATAGTCATAAATCTTTTAATCCTCTGTAAAACCGTTCAATAAATTTCAGTTGTGAAAATTCTATTTAAATTCCTATAGGTTCCAAATAAATTCCAACTGGATTCCAATAATTTTAAGAGTGCAAGTATTTAATTAGGGTGTTGCAATATTCTACCAGTAACTCCTAATGGGAAGCTTCGTTTTTCGTGAAATACAGGGTGTAAAGTTTTATTTTATTTTTTTTATTTGTTTTATACATTTTTTTAAATAATCCCTCCAAATTCAGCGCATTCATTTGAGAACTCACTAAATGTCAGTTATCTGCTAGATTCAAAACATGACAATTCATAAGACACAGAATCAGGATAATGATTAAAAACTAA